TATATCTGAAATCTAACTTTTCTTTTAGTTTCCACTTCACTCTAGTCCAAGCACAATCATTTCCCACCTGGAATATTTCAACTGTTTTTACTTTGTCAGTATTTTCCCTCGCTGTGTCTACTTCCCACACAGCAGCTGGAGTGATCCTTCTAACACCCTAGGGTATGTTGCTGCACTGCTCAGAATTCTCCATGCTTCTCTCACTCAGAACATGAGCTACAGTCACAACACCCACAAGGTTCTGGGTGATCTGATTATCCTGGCCAGCAAGTCACTTCTCCTGCCTTTGCCTTCACTCTTTCCCATTAGAGAGCTTCATTTTTTTTTCTATATATATTTTATTGATTTTTTACAGAGAGGAAGAGAGAGGGATAGAGAGCCAGAAACATCAATGGGAGAGAAACATCGATCAGCTGCCTCCTGCACACTCCCCACTGGGGATGTGCCCGCAACCAAGGCACATGCCCCTGACCGGAACCGAACCTGGGACCCTTCAGTCCGCAGGCCGACGCTCCATCCACTGAGCCAAACCAGCCAGGGCTTCATTTTTATCCTTAGGACTTATTACCACTTGACATACTCTGAATTCTCTTGTTCATCTCTGTGTCCCCTCATTGGCATGAAGCTTCGTGAGGGCAGAGGTTTACTTCATCACTGATAGGGCCTCAGCTTCTAGTACCCTGCCTGGCAAATGACAGGCATGCAGTTTTGTGTGTGAATAATGAATGGATATTATTGTTCTCTATATGGCCTGAGGGTAACACTACCCTTTTATTCAGTCATCAAATATTTGGCCATCTACTATATACCCTTCACTAAGGGGATAGAATATGGAGAAAAACCCCAGAGAGTTTCCAGTCCAGTATGGGAGAACAACTAATAAATAGATACAACATTGTAGGTATCAAGATTGGGGTGTGTACAAACCTGTAAGAACAAATGGGGGGAAATAACCCAGCCAAAGTCGCATAGCCAAGGAGGCCATGTGGGATTTCCCAAGGAAGTGACTAAGGTGAGTCAAAACAAAGAGTAGAGGTTAATTGGACAAAGTGGCTTTGGTGGCAGAAAGTGTAGGTGGGCAGAGAAGGGGAGGGCAGGTGCAAAGGCACTGTGGTAGAGGGAACATAGTGAGTTCCAGGACCCGAACAGAATAGAGGAGGAAGCATGGAAGGACAGAAGGTTGTAGACTTTTAAATGATATCTCTCTATTCCATCCAATTAAGAACATGTTTCAAAATTCTGCTTTATTCATAGAAATCCCTGCCTGATCTCTAAATTAGTATCAAATTTCCACCTGATTTATATACACTTAGACTGTAGCTTCCTAATCATCATATTAAGTGTACCCAAAAGGAAGAGAAATGAGAAAATGAATTCAGTCTCTGGTGAAAAATTAGCTTTGTTTATTTGTGTTTAAAAGACCTCAATTTACCAGAATACCTGAAGAATGGAATATTCTTATGAATGTATTTAGTTTTTATTGCTATCGTTAACTGAGGCTTATTGCCAACTGAGGCTTAAGAATTAAATTATTTTGTTGAAATATTTTTGGAAAATCTTGAAACAATAATTTTATCCCCTTTCCTGCCTTATTTAGGGGGTTATTTCACAAAGGTTGGATGGGACATTTTTTGTGCACTTTTATACATATATGTTCAAAGGCTACAAGCTTTCAGGAACAATGAGCTTATCCTCACAAACCCCAACCAGCTGTTTCTCACTTTCACAAACTTCCATTCTCCCACGGTCCTGATGTAGGAAGAGGGAGAGACACAGGTTGCTTTTCATGATAACATCTGGGGGCTGTCATTTGGTGCCTAGATACCTTCTGTACTGGGACTGCCCCTGCCTGAGAAACGAAGCAGAGTCCTTTGGTACATTTACCAGGTGAGGCAAACTTAATTTCGATATTTAATCTGACACTCAGACTCGGGGCTTCAGAACGAGTTTCTTGTCCTTGTCGTGTTTTCAATAAAAGTGGAGCCCTGGATTTATGTGCCTAGTCCCCTCTGGTTAAAGGACAGCAGTTCTGTCCTTTAGGGCATTTTTTCTCTTTTTATACCTGATTTGGAATCACTTGTCATCCAAATGATTTATATTTACTTGTTATCTCTTTAACCTCCTTCATGGGAATAGGTCCTCTGCCTTTCTTTGCCTCTCAGAGCCTGACATTAAAAAAAAACACACACACATGTCTTTATGGATTTTAGAGAGAAAGGAAGGGAGAGGGAGAGAGAGATAGAAAGCATGGATGAGAGAGAAACATTGATTGGCTGCTTTCTGTGTGCCCCCTACTGGGGATTGAGCCGGAATCCGGTGACCTCTTGTTGCATAGGAGGATGCTCAATCCACTGACCACCAGCCGGGCAACATTTTTTTTAAGAGTTTAAGGCAGTTATTTTAAAAATGCTCCTTGGTTTGTGTTGTCTGAATGTTCCATCGTGTTCGACCCACATTATGCACCATGTGAAGAAGTACCACAGAAGTGGTTGTGCGTCCTTCTCCGTGCTCTGTTGCATGTCATGAGGCATATGTGTCGTTTGTACCATAAAGGGTGTTGAAACTGTAAATGGAGATATTTTACCCTTGGTAACGAGAATAATAAGGAGGGACAGAGTTTAAGAATAAGTAAATATTTTATTCCCCAACAGACTGTCTCTGATGGTTTTAACTTCCATTGCTAATTCTCACCTGAATTCATTGTTACGATGGTTGAACATAGAGATTTTTCTAACTCTCTAAGTTCTCCCATATTTATTAGTTGTCATTCTACTATAAGACAGTTTCCTTTCTCCCCTTTAGGATGATATATTACTGTCTTTATTCCAGTTTGTATTGTTCAGGTTTGGCTAATGAGAATCCTGAGATGAGATAGTGGCTATTTCATCCGAGTTTTCTGTATTAAGCGAGAAGCCAGATAGGTGAATTCTGTTGGTGAATGGGAAAGGCGAGAAAGTGGTATTTGAAGTGAGCTTTGGAAAAGCAGTAGAATTTTGAGAGAAAGGGTGATAGGGTGGAGTGGAAAGGAAAAACCGTCTGAATAAGGGGGGGCCTGGAATACCTGCTGTTTGACAAGCGCGTGGGTCCAGGGCATGATGGGGAAGCTGAAACGGAACAGAAAAACTCCTGCAGGCACCTCAGCATTGTGCACTGGTCAGGCTGGTTGCACTGCTCAGATTTTCCTCCATCCCCCCCCACCTCTGCTTTTTGCTAAGGGATAGGGTGAGGTGTAAGGAAGAAGGGAATTTTAAGTAGTGAAAACAGCATGAGCCCCAAACCACACGTGAATACTCCTTCTCCAGGGAGCCTTTTCCAGGTCCCTACTAGGAATTAACCACCCTCCTCTCAGATACTCCCGTGGCACCTTGCAACTCTGCTAACAAGTCCATTCTGTCTTGCCCTACTTCTATTGGTGGGTACATCTTCCTTTAAAGCATGAACCATATCTTAATTGCTCTGCCTTCTACCCAGCACTCAGCACAAATGCTCAATAAATGTGTCTCAGTATGTGTGAGAAAAGAAGGGCAGTCACGGGGTAGGAGTTTGTTGGGCGGCGGGGGGGGGGGGGGGGGCCCGGGGGGCGGGGGGGGGGCTCTGAATGTCATGTTAAGGGCTTTGGGCTCGCTCCGCCTACAGCCAAGAGCCATGGCAGCTTTTGAAAATTGCAGGGCTGGTCCAGCTGGGATGGAAGGAGAACATTAAAGTGCCCCCGTGTGGCCTGGAGAGCACTGAGCCAGAGGCAACAGCCAGGAGGGGAGAAGGAATGGGAGGAAGTAGTTACTGCCTCCTGAACCTGGGTACCCATTTGAATGGAGGGATTGAAAGAGAAGGAAGGAATTGCACATGGCTTTGAGGTTTCAGGACTGGGGAGCTAGGAGATAGACAGAGGCCTCTTACTGAAAGAGGGACCCAGGGGCCATTACAGAGCACATAAGGGGTTCAGCATGGTCCTAGCACTTCCTCATCCCAAACTCAGGGTCCCTGAGTTCAAAACGATATGTGCTGTTGAAAGGTTCAGTTGTGTCAGATATGATGGGAAACGACATATTGTCTCTAAATGAGGCACAAAACCTGACTTTGGTGTAGTGAACATTTTTCATTTGGCTTTCGTAATGGTTTTATTAAAAACGGATGTTAGTAGCGGCTTTTTTAACCTTGACCTGGGGCCGTGTGAGAGCAGCTTACCATGAGCCGGTCAGCAGCTTTCCTTTGGCTCCTGTGTCCCTCCTGCCCCCTTCCTAACAACAGAAAATTTGCTTTGCACCTGCTCCGACTGGGTTCTAAGTGATAAACATCTTGCAAGCCCAGAAAATTGTAGTATCAAATCTCAGCCCCAACTGTGAGGCAGCACTATCATCGGATCCCGCCGAGAGGGGCTGCTTTCCCAGTTCCCCGGGGGAGAGTCCTTTCTCCCCTGGCCCCTTCTCAGGCTTGAACTATGACCCAAACCCAGATTTTAGCTCCCAGCATGCATTGCTCTGGCTGCAGGCCCTGACCCAGCCCTGCATGCCCTCCCTCGCCCCGCAGGTCAGGCCTGGCTAGCCCTGAGGTCCCCAGAATGCCCAGTTCCAATGATGAGCATATTTATCCAAGGAGAGGAAATAGGCTTTTCTATTTGTTACAGTCCATCGCTTTTCTCCCCAGAAACACATGCTAAAGGAACATTGGATATATCATTTGTGATTTGGTAAATATATAAAAACCTTGCCTAATAATTACAATGTTTCTTTTATTCACATATTCCTTCATACATGAAATGCTTTGTTATAACTCATGATTTATTTTTTAAGAGGGATATTCCCATTTTCACTGCTAAGAAATGTAAATGTTTTAAGCTAATGCCATATTTAGGAAAACTCTTGTAAGAATTTCAAATAAAATTAGCAAATACTATTCAGATAGGTCTATAACATCCTAATTGGACTTAGTCTATGGTTTTAAAAGGAATAAAAAAATGCTGACAGAGACTGTGTAACATTATCTTTATGCTTGCTTCTTAGGTTTTTCAAACAGACCCAAGACATTAAAAATATTCCTAAACCCCCAAAGCCACAAAAAGGAAGCTACACAGATATATTATGAGAAGGTGGAACCTCTGTTGAAGATCGCAGGAATTAAGACTGATGTAACAAGTAAGTCATTTTCAGAATATAATTTTGCCATTAAAAAAAATCACACTTTAAGGAAACGAAATAACCTGAATTTGTTCTTAATTCAAATTTAAGAAGCTACTTGTAATATCTAAAGCTGTTTAAGTGTTTTATAACCTCTGCGGCAGCCAGCTTCAGGATGATAAGTTTAATTATTTTTTCTTTATTGTGATATTTTTATTACGATATCAGTATTTTATCTTTAGAACGTTTTCCAGACTTTAACAATTACTAGGTATTGCTTTTTGATATCTTCGTTGACATGTCTGCTATTTACACATCATTTCTGCAACTTGGCAGGCAATGGACTTTTCGCTGACTTAAATGTTGGATGTCTTTCCGTGGAATCCTTCATTAGGTGGTTTTTGTTCTGACTCTGACCCCTGCTGGTTAGGTCAACACTAAGCACTTAACTGCTGGTTTTAGATGAATTTAAAGAAGCCAGATGCTTAAAGCCATTGTCTGAAATAAGAAAGGTGCTTAGGTTTGTGCCCAGGACAATAGAAACTTGCTACTTCTGAAGTTAATGGACAGAAGATTAGTAAAATGTTTTTCAACTTTTTGAATTTGGTAATCAAATTATTTTGAGACAAGATTATTTTTCCCATGGGGAGGTGGGACTGAGAAGGAGGGTTGATGCTACTATCAATAATCATACCCTCATTTTTTTTGGTTTTACTTCTATGTAGCTTTACTAATACACAGTGTAAATTTATAGCAGATTTTAATTTATGAAATTTATGAAGAGTACTGAGTGATAAGTCTGCCCAGGAGTGCGCTGAGGTCACCTCATCCCAGTGATAAATTCCTGGGGACGGGATCCAGAGTGACCCGGCTTTGCTCAGCAATGTTCCTAAGGTTAGTGAAGCCCACACCTCATGATTGATGAATTAGGGTAGAAGGAAGTTTCTAAAAATAAAATGAAAACAAGAAAGAAAAGGCAATCACTGTGGGAAGGTCAGCCACCTGAAAAGGCTACTACAACAAAAGAAGTTCAAGAGAAACGAACATAAAAAACACAAGAGAGATTTCTAAATTAAAATTAAATTGTAGCCAAAGAACTATAACCCATAGACACTGACAACAATGTGGTGATGGCCCGAGGGAGGAGGGAGGAGGGAGTGGGGGCTGGGTGGAGGTGGGCAAAGGGGGGTGTGGAATGAGGACACCTGTAATAGTGTCACCAATAGAAATAAAGTTAAAAATTTAAAAATGTGCTGGTTGGTAAAGTCTCAAAATAAAATTAGAGTGTAGAAATTACTCTTTCATCATGTGGCTTTTGGCTTTCTTAGATGATTACAAGGAAAAGAAACAATACAAATCTATCATTCTTTCCCAGTGAAGATGTTGAAAGATTGGCAGAAGGAAGTTTGAAATTCATATTAGGATGAGTGGAATAAACTTATTGGCAAACTCATTAAAATTATTTTGTTTCATATTATTTTTATTTAATATCCAGAATAGTTTTATGTGGATATAACTATATATCATTCAGTTCAAGAAGCTTTTGTTGAGTGATTTGTGTTAAACACTATGCAGAATGGGAGATGAATAAGATATACAACCTGTTCCTGAGTGACCTGTATAGGCCATTAGGGATGCAAATAGGTATTTAAAATAAATGTCATTGGAATGACATAAAAGAACTATGGTGTCTCAAAGGGTGATATTAATTTTGACCACAAGACTCAAAGTATTTGAATTGGGCAGTTTGGGAGTGTCAGAAAAGGCAAAGAATGGTTTTCCGTGCATACATAGCAGAAGAAAAGCGAGGGGAGGTAGGCCAGCTAGCAGGCACATACAGGTGGTGTGTGTGTGTGTGTGGGGGGGGTACCCATAATATCCAGGGAGTACTTTTGCTCTGCCTTTTAGTTTTGACTTCATCTTAAATCTGGTAGTTTCCGTCATCATAAAATGGTTGCTAGTGGATTGGATTTTTCTTTGTTCAAATCTAGTGGGGTGGGAAGAGGTGTGTGTATGTGAGAGATCCAACATTCTTTACTCCTGAAAAAGGATTCAAATTTCTTCCTTTTAGATTGACTGTCCCAGTGTGGTATGTATGCCCAACCTGGAGCAATCGATCTCTTAATTCTCTGTAACCTTCCCTTGGGCTGAAGGTGGGACCCCATTTTCCTGAAGGTTGAGAATACCTGAACTGATCCTGGGTTCTGTTAGGGAGATAAAAAGGTGAATGGGCTTCTGTGAAGGCCCCCAGCAATGTACACGAGGAAGTTTGAGTCCGGATTATGGATGGATCTTAGTGCTACCCTCAGGAGTTTATTCATCAGGCATTGATCTGGAGTGGGTATAAATGTTTTAGAGTTGTAATCTGGTTCAGTAAAAATGATTCTGCCAGCAGAATAGAGAGTAGGAAGACAGACAGATAGGAGGATCGGAAACTGGAACAGAGGCCTCACCTAAGGCAGAGTTAATGATCGGAATGTGGTTTCCTTCTTAAAACAATTGTGTGGGAGAGAAAAAGATTATGTTCTTGGGCTTTTTTCTAAATTTGTAAATGTTATTGAATGTTATATTTATTTTGACATAAAATTAGAATATTACATATTTGTGCAGAATGGCTAATTATTGCCTAACACTCCTCCTACAGGCAAAATTATAAAATTGCATCTTTTGCTTATAGAACCATTTCAGTATGTATATTTACTAAATATTTATATAAACATGTTTCCTATTTTGTGTGAAGGGCTGAATAAACATGTGGGTACTGGAAACATTCTAGAATCCTCCTGCCTAGTCTCACAGTGTCATTTTGTAGTTTGAATAAAGTAATGTATTTGAAACTACCTTTTGTATTAGAAAATGCTATAGAAATGTCATAATGCTGTGCATTTCAGTTTTATAAAATTATGCAACAGTAAGATTCAATTCACACTTCATTTGAAAGAAAACTCATCTTAAAGAGTAAAGCAGAAAGAGTACATATTTTCTGCATGTCCAGTGTGATTCTTATTCAGTGTATCTTGCGTACATTGCTGAGTGCAAATGGAATTTGAATTACATAATAAGTTCTATACAATGATTAACTCATTAGAAGATAGTGCTATATAAATGAGTCAGGATTTGAAAAATTATAGCTAGATATAGTCATTATAAACTAATTTTTTCTATAACCTTTTAAACATCTCATCACGTTAATAAAAATATACTTACTCCTTTCATATTGCTGGTGCTGAAACCCTAACCACTTCTGGAAATACTTCAGCATCTTTAGAAATAGATGAGCTGAAGTTGCATCCCTCCCATCACCAATGTAGTATTTTATTTTCATAACTAGAGGCCTGGTGCATGAAATTCATGCACAGGTAGGGTCTCTAGGCCTGGCTGGTGATCAGGGCCGATGGAGGCCTTCCGGCTGCAGGTCGGGGCCTTCCTTTGTTCCACGGCACTCCTGGAGGTCAGTCCATGTCATAGTGAGCAATCAAACTCCCGAGGGGACACTTTGCATATTAGCCTTTTATATAGATTGATGTTTCAGAAAAACTTCTGGAAGAAACTGAAAAAAAAACAAACCTGATTTATTTTTCCTAATAATTTGGTATACGAATCAAGGAAAAGCATATGTGTCAATCCCATGCAGCTGTGTGATATCATTGCTCTCACTTCCTACCAAAACAGAGGAGATTTTAGGAATTAGACTATTAAAGGAAAGATAAATTTTGAGAGATCCTTGATTCATAGGATAATTCTGAAATTAATGAAGTGAAAAAGTCAAGACAGCAGAGAAATCAAGCTGGAAAGAACTGTAGAGGCCATTGAATTCAATTTCCCCCATGTGCTAAAGTGCAGGGGTGTGACATTCCTCATGGGTGAGCACCCAGCCTTGACTTGGGCATCCTATGATTGAGTCAGTATGTGCCATTAATGGGCAATACTGATGGACAGTCTTATCTTGAATTCAGAGTCACTATGTTTTTGTGCAAATTAGAAAATGACGTCTCCTTTTGCTGAATTACAAAAAGGTACCCTGATGGGCTGGCTCAGCTCAAGATCACCTAGCATGTTGGGTACATGCACTGGCTGGATTGCAAAACCCACCTGCCTCTTTGCCTGGTTGCCTTTGTGCAAAACATAAACTGCATAACACGGAGAATTTGTGAGCTGACATTTGCCTCCTTGTCATTTTTATCTACTAGAGTTAATGTTATCCTTTGTGAGAATACATAATAAGTGACATAAATGTATCCCATCTTCTGTATAAGAGTCATTGAGATATTTGAAAATAGATATAACTATCCTTGATCTCGCTTGTTCGTGGCATGCAATTCCATCTCCTTCAGTCAACCTTTGTATTAACAAAGCACTGCTAAACCTTATCGTTATTATGGTCAAAGTTACCGCTGAGTCCAGCCTCAATCTTTGCCAGCTCAGGGCCCACGGGAGTGCCCAGTCACCAGATAAGTTTTACTTCCTGGCTAGCCCTGGGCAGAATTGTCAAGAAAGTAGTTTATTGTCACTTCCTCCTTTTTTCTCTTTCTTACATCTAACTTTTACCCACTCTCCTTTTTGGACTTTTCATGTCTGGCTCTTTGTATCTAACGGAAGCCTTCCCTCCTTTGGCGATGCGGCTTGTTGCTCCTTATATCACCCTGTAGAAAGCTAGGCGATTTGAAAAAACAGAGTCACTAAAGATGGTAGCAGGCCGAGGCATTGCTCCTCTCCAACATCACCTGCTTCTTATTACAAGTCTGGAGAGCGACTATTCTTACATCAGAGTCAGCTAGCAAGAATGAAAATTCTAGGTGGAAGGTTCTTTTCATTATTCCATAAATCATTGTGAATGTAAATGGCTGATCCCATTTCATATAGTCAGATGTCAGGTAGGAAGTTGGAACTTTATCCTGGGGACAGTGAAGAGTCATGAATGGGGGAAGTGATGTGATTAAATTTGTGTTGTGAGAAAGGTCATTCTGGCTAGAGTGGGAGAGAGACGGGAGAGAGGCTGTTGTAACATACACATTAACGATGGTGGTGCCTATATGCAGGGCATTGGCTGGGGGGATGTTGGGATGCTGTAGCATAATTAAAGCCAGAAACAACTGACCTCGGCCATGGGATGGTTGTGGAGAGTGAAGGAGAGGGATAATCTAGGAAGAAGTCCTTTTCCTGTCTTGAGCAATGGGAAGTGGATTACGGAACACAAACAGAACAATATATTTGAGAGGAAAGATATTTAAAGGTGGAAAGGATGCCTTCCTTTTCGAGCTTACTGAGTTTGTAGCAAATGACATCTCAGCATTTAATCCAATTATAGAATTTTATCACCAGACAAAAAGATGTTTCCTTATGTCCAAAGGAATTCGTCTGTTTGCACTTTAGCCCATTTCCTCATCAATATTCAATATCAACCTCAAGACAGTACTCTCTTTCAGGTCTGTCTTCCTGGGGAAGTGACTTAAATTGATGGTTAGGATAGGAGATCCCAGCAGTGAGAACTGTTTGAAGGCTTGGAAATAATAGAGACTCCAAATTTCCTCTATAGAAGGGGTGTAGGGTATCCACCTCATTGGAAAAGGATGGATGAAAAAAGAGCTAGTAACCTTTGGACACTACATCTGCCCAGCGATCTACTCTTTTTTTAAATTTTTTATTGTTATGTTCCTTTGGAGTGGCATGATTTGAATCTGGCTTTTTCAGATTCCAGAGGCTATAATATGCCATCTAAATAAATATTTTGAGTCCTTCTACTATATTTAAATAGTAGTCCAGATTATTCTCTATCATTTTCTCTTAAATTATTTTTCCCTTATAATAACTTATTACTACTTTTTATTGTACATTTATTTTTTTTAAATTAGTATACATTGTCTGTATCTAGAATGTGAAGGCCAAGGACTTTATTCATTTTGTCCTAATATATTGTGGTTAGGTTTGTTTCATCTTTTCTGTCTCTTTATTCAGCTCAGTGATTTTATTTAACTTATATACAGTGTCACTTAAAAATTGTTCTTCTTGGATGATTTGCACCCATGTATAATCAAATTCCACCTGTAAGATAAAAGGAAAAAATAAACTGTTATTTAAAATTTTACCTAAGTAAAGATAGCATTCAGCCATGACATACGTCTAAGCTAATTTTGTACTGGGGTTCAGAAGCTTTTCCAAAGTAAGTGTTGGTATAAAAGCGAGACTTGATCATCTGATTCTCAGCATAAATATTTCTTCATGATGTTCTTAATTCTTTTTAATGTGTGTATGTAGATATTTTATTACTTTGCATTTAAGGTTGTAACTACTTACTGAGGTTATGAATAAATGATCAACACAAAATCATTTATGATAACTTAAACTTCCAAGCGCGTAGCCTTCGTCTGATGAGAACTTAGCACAGAGAGCTTTTACTCATGTGCATATAATGGCATTTGAATAAGCTGTGGGAGAATTACAATGTAACGCTGCTGGATACAGAATGATTCTTTTAGACACCAAGACTAATAATATCTAAAAACACTGTAGGAAAAGCTTGAACCATGCTGGCACCAGGGACAGACAGGCATGAAAGATTAATGTAATCTTGCATATAACGATGCGCATTCTTACACAAAAAGATCCATCTGCGTTGTCACGTCAGTCCGCGGAAATCTTTGATGGGTGGGTACAGCTGGGCTGTCTCTTCTGGCAGAGCTGCCCCAGAAAATGCTAAACGTGGCTGGGATGCTTGGTGCCATCTGCAGTGTGCCAGTTTATCCTGTCTCCACTGGCATTTACAATACTGCACGGGGCATCATAACTGTGGAGACAGCAATAGGGAGTGACAGATTCATTTCCTCGGAGGACCAGCTCTGGTGGGCCTGTGCCACCCTCCTTGGCTTGGATCTGTTATCACTGGTGTTGGCTTTGCTGCACATTTTCACATCCAACTCCTCCTCCTTGTAGTCTAGCAGTTCCAGATACACACTCTTCGGGTATGTAAATCTTACACTAACCTTTCAAGTAATTTATTCATGTAAGGTTGCCAAAGCGATTTAACATTGACGGCTTGACGCCAGCCAAGATGCCTTATTTTCAAAATACTCCTGCTCTGAGGCTTCTGATTTAAAAGAAATGTGTCTTATTTAGGGAACACTAAGTCGTCAGGCACCAAGATAAATGATCCAACTGCTCTGTGTGGGGATATCCCCAAATGACTTATGTAGTTGGAACAAATATATGACCCTCTTTTACATAAAGGCTGTAAAACACATCAGGCAAGTAACACTTAATCCTCTTTCCCATGATTAAAATATAAATATTCAAGAATAAATGTTGTTTTGTGACCTGACCATATGTTTATTATATTATTTTGCCAGGCCGAGTTAAAAAGTATAGATCATTGTTTAAAACTTTCACTTGTTGTGTGTCTTTTTTTTAATAGTAACAGAATATGAAGGGCATGCTCTGTCGCTGCTAAAGGAATGCGAGCTACAGGGATTTGATGGGTAGGTTACATTATTAATGTATGTATGTCATATGGTTTATATCATTAAATGTTTTCATTAGGTTTTTTGTTGTTGTTAATCCTCACCTGAGGCTATTTTCTTCCATAAATGTTTTAGAGAGAGTGGAAGGGAGGGGGAGAGACAGAGAGAGAGAGACATGGATGTGAGAGAGACACATTGACTGGTTACCCCCTGCACGGGCCTGCAGCTGAGGTACATGCCCTTGATCGGAATCAAACCCATGACCCTTCAGTCCAAGGGCCGATGCTCTAATCACGAACCAAACTGGCCAGGCCTATTTTCATTAGTTTTTAGCTATATATTTGGGACTTACAGTTTTTAAATGTTTGTGATGTATATAATTAGGCACTATTTCTTTCATATCTGTGTAATGACAGTTAATGGTAATCATGGTAACAGGACATAGTCATCACCTCTCAAGATTGGGCATAGAACGCAAAAAGGAGAAATGTAATCGCAAGTTCTGGGACATCACAGTGTACCATGCTGTACAGAGCTAACATGCAGACGCTGGCGTCTGTTCTCCTGAATTCTTGCCTTTACCCATGTGAGTTTCTAGAAAAGCACTGAAGGAAGATATATCGGTCATACAGCATAACTGTACAATGATTCTCTCTTGCAAATTTATTGAGAGTGTTAATAGCAACCCACTAGTTATTTCACTGTGATTGACAGAGGGTAAATATTTTATAAAAACAAATATATTATCTTCAGAATTTATAACAAGATGTTAATTTAAATTATCTTCTATAATGCCGTGGCTACCTAATAAATGTGTCATTCACCATAGGCATTGGAAACTGTTGTTTGCAGTGCACTGTGGGAGTGTGCAGAAAGTGTTCAATGAAATGCAAACATTAGAAACAAGGCAAGTGGTATGTAGTTTAATAGCCATTTTTAAAAATCAGGTGAATTAATTTGCTAAAGTGCTGGGTCGATAAATAAGACAAAAACATTCTTTTCAAGGGTGGATATTTCAGCATTCTAAAAGGTGGCGAGTGTGTGAATTATTTGTGTCATGTGGCCACGTGCAAGGGGGACAACAAAAGACTCATCATGTCCAGAAGGGCAGGTGGGTCTTTCAACCAAAGCGAAAGGCTTGCCGTACAACGATTAGAACGTGTGAGGGAAGAAAGTGATCTCATCACAATGGAGCCTTAGAAGGGTTGCTTTTCAAAATGCTTCATATTTTTTGCTGAGAAAAATATTAGTAGATGAAGAAAGTTTGGTAAGTAAAATTATTTTTCAAAAAGTAATTTAATGGAGAGGAATAAATCTAGATAGCAATAGTATATCAATGAGGAATATGGGGCAGGCGATTCAGACTTAGAGCTAAACAGGTTAATTAATATGCTACATTTAGGAAATTATCAAGTTTACAATTTAAGAAAGTAATTGGGGGAATCATGCCCACTAACTACATGCTTTAATATACTGCATAGTCCTGAATCACAGCTTAGGAGTAAGTGTAAGTGTGGCTGCATTTCAAATAAGCTCTTGCTTCAAAACATGATACTATGACAGATATCGTAGGTATTAGACCCAGTCTTGCCCTTCAGCATTATGAAGTGTCCCACTAACTGTGGTATCTGTGAATAAGTTTCATTGGTAACTATATTTTGCAAGGATCAAGAAGAGCTTTGCAGAATGATGAAAGATTATTGCTCAAGTGTTGTACGGTCATCTTTTCCTCTTTACCTGAACCTACTTAATTTTTGTTATTATTTTGCAGTGTGGCACTAACAGAATATATATAGATCCTTTAGTTAATACCCACATTTTTTTTAAACAAATAGTTTGGACTACCCATTATATGAACTGAGTTCCAGTAATGAACTATTTTTAAACTCTAGCATGCTGGTTTAGTTAGGACTTACTATAATTTAAAAGTTCTCTATTTTATAAGATCCTTTAAATAGCTCATTTATTTCCTTGGGCTCAATTTTTTCCCCAGTAGAAACTGATACGGTGGTTGGGATCTTAATAAAATGGTCATTTTAATCCACTCTACTTAGAATTACCTAGAGAGGTATATGAGGAGGACAATGGAAATGTCATTTCTTGGGCACTTCAAAAGAACCATATTCTAACAGGTGGACCGTTTGAAAATGGGATGCCCTACAGTCTTGAGTTCCCTGTTCCCGAACCTGTTCAAAGAGTGCCTATATGGGAGCAGTTTTTGAAGAATATATATAAAGACTCCGGGGTGGGATAAGGTGACCTCACTGTTCTATGGGATTCTGATGAGAGAGGGGCTATCATTCCTCCACGGATGAGCTCTGCCTGACTCTGGGGGAGCTATTTTTAGACACAGAGAGGTTAGGATCCAAGAAAGATTCTATGTGTATTTTTCAGTAAAGCAAGAATGGTTTGGTAAGTACTGTTTAAGAAATGTTATCTGCTAGGATTAATGAGTTACATATGTTTCTGTGAAGACACAGTGTGACATATTTCTAAAGCCAACAGGAACAGGGTACCAGTACTCACGACAGCTGGTGTGCAGCTCCAGTGTGTTCTAGAAAACAGATCCTGTTGCTGAAATTTTAGGAGCGTCAGTTTCTATATCGGCCCCTATTTGTACTGGGCACAAATAGGAAGCTTTGCAAAGGCAAAGAAGAGATGTGAAGCAGTAACAGTTGAATGTATAGTGTACATATGGTTAAGCAAATCTGTAGCTCCGAGGCAATTATAGATATACTAATATTTTCCTATTTTGTTTGACAGTGTTTTCTATTTGAATTTATTTAATTATGTATTTTTCTTATTCTGCTAATTTCACCATTAACTAGATCCACAATAATTTAAACATTATTTGGATCACATTGACATTTTATCACATTGACCATGGTATCTGTATAGTTAAGGGTAGAGAAAACGATCTCTTTTTCAAAAATCTTTTAAATGAAAAATCCAATAATGTAGTAAATCATTCAAAAATGATATTGGTTGATAGGTAAATACACAAACATCCATTTAATTTTTAATTTTATTTTTATAAAGAGATATAAGATAATAGCCTCCAGTTGTACTTTTCTAGGCAGAATCATTCTACTTGGGACCATGGCAAGAAGAAATCGACTTATCCTAAAAACATATGATAAGCCACATGCCAAATATTAGTTACTCTAAGGGTTATGTTTTAGGTTCTCTTAAGTGTGGTTAAATTAGCTCATAATGATAAAAGGTTGATTCCCCCCCCCCCCCCGCCCTTTTCTTGTAGTATCCGGACCCTTGTGATAGTTTGTATTAAGCATATTTGTAGGTCTAGTAACTACATCTGGAAATGATCTTAATGATCTAGTAGTAGTCAAGATAAATAAATACATTCTTTCCTAACTCATTTAATTTTACATTAGTTATCCTGGTAAACTGATTTGCAAAGTAATAAAACTCTCATATGGCTATACTCAATGAGGTTTTATATAATATAGGGGAGGAAAATAATATCTTGAATAAAAGTGCAGTCTCCAAGGCCAAATTGTCTTATTTCAAATCCTCATTCTATCACTTACTATGGTATGACCTTAGAAAAGTTACTTAATCTTTCAATGCCTTAGTTTTCTAACCTGTCAATTGAGTGTGAAAGTATATCTGTTGCATACAGTTATTGTTCAGATTAAAGTAGTTAATACATGTGAGTGCTGAGAATAGTAATACATAGTAATTATTCACTAAATGTTAAATTTTATTGTAATTATCATTTGTTATAGTTTCAAAATACGTAACACAGCATGTGTGATAACATTTCCAAGGCTTTGGTAGCAGAGTGTGTTCATAGAAAGGCCATCTGTACTAACTCTAGCCACACATTAATGTGGACACGACGCTCTAACTGGATGCAGGCTCCCAGGGGCCAGAGGCTGCTATGCTGTACAAGAGAGTCAAGATCTTTGGTGTTAAGTTAGATGCTTTGTTAGATGACTTTACAAGCTCCTTTTGGGCCCCACACACCTCAGTAGGTAGACAGGCATGGATCTGAAAATTATAAGTTTATACAATGTTTGGAAATTTGCTCATAGAGATCTTTAAAATCATATAGATAAGATTCAAATCAAACCTTGGCTTCCCCATTTACAAGGATGAGGCTAATGTCTAGTTTACAGAATTCTGAGGATTTGCTAGAAAAGAGCCAAGATGTCATCGGACATGAAATTGTCCCTGAGTAGATAAAATCACTTCTGATTCAGTGGCCACAATGTGAACCCATGGAATCAGTTTAGAAACAAAATAATATCCTGAGCCAAAACAGGCCTGGGACGTATCGCATATCCTAGAGCCTCTTCTAACTAGAGTGGACCTGGAGGCTCAGGCTACGTGCAACCAAAGGGCTAGCCTCAGCTAGGTGAGGGTCAGCCAGGCTGAGAACAAGGTGGAGAGGGCTGATGGAAAAGCTCCCGCAGCCTCTGGATTCATCAGCATCTGGAGCTGAGGGAACCAGTAAGCCCTGCTGATTATGACCTGCAGGCTGTGGCGGTTTTTGTTTGTTTGTTTTGGCACATAGTGTTTTTAAATAGATAAAATGCTAGTGTTTACAGACTAAAAGACAACCCCAAATCAGAACCTGTGGCTTCAGGAGATGTGGTCCTCGGGGCCTGCCCCCACAGGATGTGTGTGGGTGGGAGCTGAGAAGCGCCTCTCCTTTAGACTGAACATGCTCTTCTAGTCTTGTCCTGCCCTTGAGCTGTGACACATGCTTCCAATAACAAAATCTTCCTTTTGTGGCCCTGCCGGTGTGGCTCAGGGGTTGAGCGTCGACCGACCCACTCACCCAGAGGTCACTGGTTTGATTCCCAGTCAGAGCACATGCCTGGGGTGTTGTGGGCTCAGTCTCCAGCGTGCAGGAGGCAGCTGATGGATGTTTCTGTCTCTCATTGATGTTTCCTAGCTCCCTTCCTCTCTCTAAAAAAGCAATAAAAACATATTTAAAAATTTTTAAATCTTTCTTTTGAGAAAATTGAGGTCATTTTGCTACTTAAGGTTATTTTGAATCTTTTAAATACAAATGATTATGAAACAAATGCCTGATGCCTTCTATATTACTTTCATGGAGTCCCACCTCCAAGGCCCTATAGTCTACTTTTCATGAAGTCTTAAAAAGACGAGCAGTACTGACTAGGGTCAAAGGAAGTGCCATTTAGCAGTGATGTCCAGGAGATGAAAACCAGTTCAGCTTTGCAATCACTACAGTCATATACTAATGATAACGAGCAGTTCCTTTAATTAAAGCCTCATATTTTACGTGACTTTTATTTCGGTATCTTCAGAGCTCTATTGAAAATGAGCAGGATTTTATGACTTTGTTCTGCATTAGTGAGAGGAATTGCCCATCGCTATTATTAACATCAACAAAATGAGAATAATATGATTTTGGATATTAACAGAGCAAAATGCAGGTCAGATGTGAATTTGCCCCTTCGATACCTCTTTCCCCATTTAAGAATATTTACTCTCTGGGTATCATCTAGGCATTACATTCATGGAGGAAATGACTGAAAGTATTACATTCCGTGTAGTGCAAGTGTCTCCTTATCCACTGCCACATACTAAAATGTGGAACGGTGTGTAGTGATCATGCACATAGAATATAGAAGATGAACAGTTAAAGTCTAGATCTCATGAATGATTATCCATTAATTTGAAGTCTTGCGTTGTCTCATGTAACTTCTTATTTTCTAGCGTCGTCTGTGTTGGTGGAGACGGTTCTGCCAGCGAAGTAGCCCACGCGTTGCTCCTTCGAGCCCAGCAGAGTGCCGGCCTGGAAACAGACCGCATCCTGACCCCTGCCCGAGCCCAGCTGCCACTCGGTGTGATACCGGCAGGCAAGGGAGTGGCCACGGCTTTGCTAAATGGACCCTCTCCTTCTATCCTTCCACCCTTCCCTGTTTTACTTTGTAGACAGTGTGATATAGAGTTAAACACGTAGACTTTGAGTCTGAAAGACCCAACCTTGGCATCTTCACTAGCAAGAATGGGAGGCTTGGACAAGTTATTTAATAGTTTTGAGCCTCATTTTCCTAATCCATAAAAGGGAGGTAACCCACATAATATTCACTTCAGTACAAGGTTATTGTAATATTAAATTAGGAGGTATATGCAGAGAGTTGGATACATAGTGAACCATTCAATAAATGGGATTGTTATTCTGCTTTTCCATGTGAAGGTCTAATGATCACACGGTCCCAGATCATGAAATTTCAAAACAGGGCCACTCCGGTCAAGCTGCTGATGACTTCATGTGAGGGAAAGTGTGGTAACCCCCCTAATCAAAGTATACACAGGTAACCTTGACAACACCGAGAGGATTTATTCAACTGCTGTTTCTCCAACAGCTAGAACAGAATAGAACACGGCACAGCGAACACTCAACAATTAGGTTTATTAGGTGAATGAATGTAAGGATGATGTTCTAGAGTAAGCACACAACTTGAATTAGGCCTAAAAATGGGTTTGATAGGTC